GCTTCTATCTCGCAATGCAGACTTCCCCTAAAAAATGTGAAAAAAGGCTAAACAAAGCTTAAAACAACCAAAACAAAGAGGAATAAAAAAACCTTTCTGACACTTTAACCGACAATTGCGCCAGTTTAAGCACATTTGCACCAGACATTTTCTTACAATTACTCCATCTTTCTAAAAAGAACTGCATTATGAAGTGTGCTTTATACAACTGAGTGGGCTTGACAAACCATCCGTAGTAATATTCTTCTCTCTATAAAAACACTCCCCCTCCTTACTCTAGCACTTAATTTTCTGAGCATAAACTGTTCCTTTGCATAATAAGCACTATTTGTGTGTATTGCCTCTTCTTGGTGAATCACTGAATGCCCTCCTCAATTGTAAATCACTTTGAAAGAAAAAGTGTCAGCTAAACGACTAAATAGATGGGTCAGGCATAAAAAAACTGATCAGATTTTTAAAAAATGAAAAAATTAACCATATTTTACTCAAACATGAAAGCACTTCATGTAATTATAATGGTAAAGATACATAATTCTTTACATGACAATAAAGTTTTACTTATAAGGCAGGTAGAAATTGACCAGTCCCATTGAGGGACTTAATCAAAAGATCTTCAAATGGACTGATTGCAGTAAGAACATCGAAGTGCAAACCCATCACAGCCATTTCAATCTAGCCTTATACAGTAAGTCAACGTCTAAGTCACGTCCAATACATAATTTTCTGTTGCTGGAAACAGTAAAGATTCACCTGGATTTTGACAATACACATCCTACTTAGATCTCTGACCTTTTATAGCCTAGAACGATGACCATAAATAAAATCAAAAGATAAACAAAACAAAGTCTAAAAAACTAAACTGAGATTTCAATAACTGAGAAGTTGGTCATAGGATCTTTTATAAGATGAATCGACTGATTGAGCAGTCCTTGTCAATATCTGTTTATTCATTTATATTGGACATGCACCTTTTTTTCAGAAACTGCACATGGACACTGGGTTGTTACAGAATTTTTGAGAATGTAAAGCACAAGTTCAAGTAGCTGCAGACTCTTTAGGGAAAGAAGCTAGCGTGAATGAGAGAAATGTTAGACAGAGATAAAGCTGGAGGAGCGAGAGGGGTGAAGATGAGAGAACCGTCTAGTCATTAGAGAGGACTTGCAGTTACTTTAGATCTAAAAATTTGCAGTGTCCCACTGGGGTACAACAACTTCAGCTGTACAACAAACACACGAACGCACGCACACACGCACGCACGCAAGCACACACACACACACACACACACACACACACACAGTAAAATAATGAAACAATAATGAAAAAAAGGAACGAAGGTCAAGTAACAATAGTGAGGAGACTATTATAAATGCAAAAAGGAGACAACCTAAATTGTCTCAAATGTTTTACAATTGTTCATGGTCTAGATTGTCAAATATTTCCAAATATAAATATAATACACATTTTTGTAATCAATAATAATCTTCAAATGGTTCAAGATGCCGATTGCTGTATTACCAAACTACTTGAACTACTAAAATTGCATTCAGTTCAGAACTAAGACGAATACAAAGCATAGTCCTACTCCCAGTATGTCTTCAAGTTTTTGAAGATGTATAGCAAACCTCAGCGTGAGCTCAGAAGTCATCAATAAAGCATCAAAGACACTGACTTCGTGCTCACTTCTGGTCAGCAATGGGAAAGATGTATAACAGAAACCCCAAATCCATCGCTTGGACATTCACTTTTTGGTGTGTTTGTCTGACTAGGCAACTGACATTTATGCCAACTAGTATATGCAGTACATAATAAACACATACAATTTAATCATACCTGAAGAATTCATTTTCTCGTCTCCTCCCTTTGTCTGTTCTCATACACTCTTACCATATCAGTTAGTTAATGCAATTTAAAAATGTGCTAAAATGTTTTGATAATAACTCTCTGACAAGAATTTTCTATGCATGAAGATAAATAACTGCATATCCAAAAACAACAGAATAGCATATAAATATGATTTTTCTCTGCACTTGATCTCATGACAGAACTAAATCAATGAAAACATTAAAATTACAAATAACGGATGATCAGTAATATGCTCTCAAATGGTCTTAAACTTCTGGAAATTCGTAGGGTAGGATATCCCAAGAGTTACAAATGTGCTAATATTTCATGTACATCATTCATGTACTGATTCCTGTGACGCTCCAGGGACAAACGAGGTGAGCCGCTGAGACTGCAGCTCTGCACAAAACGTTTGGCCAGTGGAGAAATGGAAATGGTCATGCCCAACTGAGTCTGGTTTCTCTCAAGGTTTTTTTTCTTCACTTTTGCCAATTGGTGAAGTTTTTTTTCCTCACCGCTGTCGCCAATGGCTTGCATGGTTCGGGATCGGTAGAGCTACGCATCAATGGATTTGCTCTTCAGTGTTTGGACTCTCAGTAGTCATTATTAAACCACACTGAACTGAACTAAACTGAACTGAACTTAAACTCCAAGAACTGAACTACACTGTTCCAATTTACTATAATCTTTTATGTGAAGCTGCTTTGACACTATGCACATTTTAAAAGCGCTATACAAATAAAGGTGAATTGAATTGTATTGAATTGAACATCATATAAATGTCTAAATGATTTTGGGTTATATTTTTTTACAGTGTTTCTCATTAGCAATACGTGTGTATGCAGAAGTCAAATATTTCTTTAAAGGTGCTGTATGTAAGTTTTTTACTCTTTTAAAGCATAGAAATACCATACTTATGAAACATGCTAAGTGAACATTCTTGTTTATCTGAAAAACAATGCTAAAGTCAGTTATTTTGCTTTGAAAATTTCTGTTATGTGCCAAAACGGTGTGTTTGCTTTGTTTCTTTTAACCCACACACTGCGACTTTAGCCAATTTTAATTCAGCGCCTTGGGTTACCTTCAGGTAAAACAGCGTAGGAAGTTAGGAACATCAGTTAGGAAGGCTCTTAAAGCATGTGTCTGTGACCAAAAATGCGACCTCCGGTGGACAGTAGCAGAATCAGAGATCCACAAGAGGTGGTTATTAATTAGCAAATATTATAAATATTATGAACATAAACATTAGGTGAGCAGGCTACATTGTCCAACATGGCCATGTTGTTGTTACATCACATACAACCCCATGTCCTAACAACACGCTACATGACGGGATTTGCAGTGATAAGAAATTTGGCTGCTTGCACCAAATAAAACATAATAGAAAATTTAAATATAGCCATTTGGAAGCACAGAATATGCACTTACTCATGAAACTGCAAGATTTATCATCTAATCGGTACATATTAAACCTCTATAACATTATTAAACGGAGATGCTGAATGAGTGATATTTATTAACTTGGCTTGCACTGAGATTACGTTTCTAAAGTTCAACGGTTTATTTTATTTTCAAGATCTGAGGTAAACTATCTTTTGCTGTTTTCAATAGTATGGCAATAAATGTCATGTAAAATGACATTAAAACTCACATTATTAGCATTTAACACTGAATAAAGCACATGAGGTGTACCTGAGGGTCATCCTGTTGTTTACCTGTAAGAAATAGAAGCCGTTTCTAAAATCTAAATTTTAGGTAATGGTTCGGACAAAAACTCCTTTTAGTTAAAAAAATGTCTTCTATTGTATACCGTTGCTTTTAGTTGGAAAATGGTTCAAATCCTTATATCAGCCTTTAGGCTCAATAGTCAGGCACACTCCCATCAATCTGGCAACCTGCGCTTGCATGTATTTTGATACAGTAATGCAATGCTAGTTCAAGCACTGGGGGGTGTCAAACTTACATACTGTCCCTTTAAGATATTTATGATTATTATGATTATGTTGATAAAAAACACAAACTCAAAGACCTTTACTGAATCTTTGCACAATGCAGATGCTAGTTTGCTAGTGTGTTTTATTATGCCAGGGTTACAGTGGCGATTTTAAAATGCTGTAAGCATATTTTAACATGTCGTCACCTTCGAATTCTAAGGTTCTATCTGACATTTTTGTCAAAATTGAGTTATTGACATATTCATATTAAATGACAACTTCTTTACATTATGGGATGTTTTTTCTTTTACAGTTTAAGACTTTTTATTTAAAAAACAAATGTTAAACACATACTGTTTGCTACGGAATGCAAAAACTTTGAAGCTCAATATCTCAAAGTCTTTCAGAACGCAGAGAGAACCTTATAATTCCAAGGTGATGATTTTGCCAGCACATACTAGCATGTCACAATACATTACTATTGTGTTTTAATAAACATGTCATATTTAACACATACTGTAGATAAAAAAACAACAGTATTCATCAATCTCTTGGTAAAGATTGCAAATTTGTTCACTATTTGTTTTTAATATATCTGATTTATTGGTTGACCAAGTACTAATTTATTATCAACATTAAATACTAAATATAAATGGAGTGCAGCTTTCAAAATCCTAAATGAAAAGCAATAAATGATTTGGCTCTAATTTACCAGTAACTTTTAACAACTCCCTTAATATCATTAGTAATCACAGATATTCATCAACACTATATGTAAACACTCACAAAAAAAATAAAAAAATAAAAAACACTAATGATGCCAACACACAAATAAGGAAGAAACAGTGTTGTGTCTGCATATGGCTATAATTTATGGATCTGGGGCCATGTGAAGAGTGGTAGGCTTAGTGGAAATCAATACATCCCACACATTCAAGTAATCTACGCCTTCATGTTATTCAGCAAAAATGTGTTTACAGTTTAAAAAATGTGCTAAAATACAAAAATAAAATGAAGTAATAATATGATTATATATGTACACTTCTATATATGTTTATGCAACACTGTGGTCCATATAGCTACATAAAATGGAAAATAAAGCCTTCATTTAACCCTCATTAACTTCTTCATCTGCCTTCTAATCCCAGTTTTATCTTACAATCCGTTGCCTGTAGAGGATGAAGATGATGAGGGTGATTATATTAGCAGTGATGGCTGACTCACTTGCGGAATGTGGGAATGCCATGAATGGATCGTCCAGGTGAAGTTCCAGAACTCTGGCTGCGTCCTGAGAGAAGACTATCTGTCTCAAACTGGAAGGTTCCATCAAGGTCATCTGGAATATCAAGGAATTCACCATCGCTCCACACCTTTACACTCCCGTCCATGGTCTGATATTTGATCTCTATGGAAATGGTTGTCTGGAAAATAATAGAACAGTATGCATATTTACAGCAATTAGGCATCATGTATTTTATACAGTAAACATGCTTAAGGTATGGCCCTACCCCTAAACCCAACACTCACAGGAAACATGTGGCCAAATGTAATTATCAAAACACTTGAAAATAGCCTAGTGGTTAAGTGCGCTGACATACAGTATAGCACCACGGTGCTCACGGCGACCCGAGTTCGATTGCTGGCTCTAGGTCCTTTGCCAACCCTTCCCCCCTCTCTGCTCTCAATGCTTTCCTGTCTGCAACCACTACTGTCCTTTCCAAATAAAGGTGAAAAACCCCTTAAAAATAATTCTAAAATATATATATATATATATCAAAACACTTTATTAAATATGTTTTTTAAGCATTTTAAATTAGAGAAACATGAGGTGTGTCTCCGTAAACCATCTTCACAAAGTACAACTAAGTCCTACCAACTGTATGCCATTATACAACTTTTTACAACCACATATTATACACACGCACGCATGCACGCACGCACACATACACACTGAGCAATGAGCAGCCATTGCTTCTAGGATCTCAGTTGTGGTTATTGAAGGTAGATGAAAGCTCTGATCATTGACTTCCCTCACCTTCAGTCTCTTTAGATTACAAGTTCAACTCTCTAACCATTAGTACATAACCGCCCCATGTATGACATTGTACATGCACAGTAGCTCTTTTTTAAATTATTAACAAGATCATTATATAAATTATGGGAAAAGGAAGGAGTTTTAAAAAGGGATTGGCAATAAAGCACTTTGATTTCCATTTCATACCAATTACCTAATGGGTAAAGGAGTGCCAATAACTGTGGCAGCAAATTTGTGGTTAAAAATGGACAAAAAGGCTTTACTAAACACGTCTCGAGTCAGAGAGAAACCTTCATCATGTGTTGATTAGTTATCATCAGAAAACAAGGTTTTTGGTCAACACTATAGCACATCATCAGGATAAAGACAAGTAAGGGTAGGACCAGGTTTCTTTGGACAGCTAAAAAGACTTATTTAAAAATAATGAACCGCTTTGTCGAGAAATTTTTATGTTTGAATTTTAAATTACTGTATAATGTGTATTTTTTTTATGTCAACTTCAACTAGCTGATGATTAAAGTTAACAGACTGGTCACTCGCAGCAAAGAAAATAAATGTGAATGGTGAATTTTCTTTAAAAGTTTCCTAAAAAATGGTTTAAAATAGATTAAATGAGGTTGCACATTAATCAAAATATATGCTAACCATAACACAGCATTATGTGATTATTAAAAGACTGAAATTTGTAGAAAGCAGGTACTGTAGTTGTCCTGAATGTTTCGATGAGATTCACTACATTTGCAGATTTTTTTTTCATTTTAATAGATTTTTACTTCTGTAAATTTGATTTATGTTTTATACGTTTTATTACTATGTTATAATCAATATCAAATGATTTATTATTTTCCATTTTTTAAATTAAATATTTACTTGTTTGCATGGGTTTTTTGTGATTTTTGTGGTGCACAATTCCACTTTAGTTTTTTATGGAAGGGAAAATTGTTATCGGTGCATGGTCTAAAAGGGCTGTCCTTACACTCTTAATGAGTTATGGGTGTGTTTTGGGTGTAACGTGCATTGAACTAATCAGAGTCTCATCTCATCCCATTCCCTTTTTGAGCGAGTTGCAGTTGTGCCATGGCAGATTTACTATTTACATGGCGAACTTCGTAAGCAGAACAACTGATTGTGTCAGTAGCAAGAAAACGGATCTGCTCCTGCATGAGGTTAAAGTGTGCAAGCAGACAATTTTTAGAACGAGTCGGATTCCATCAGAATCTCCTGAGGGGAAGAATGCGTACATGAGAAGAGGTACATGTAATACTTTTGTACATTTTAATCCTTTAATATATAATTTTTGATGATATTTCTGTGCTACTGTGTGTGTAATATCCAAAGTGTAGGTGTGTTTTGCACCAGCCGATGACTAACTTGCTCTTGAAATAACAACAATAAAAAAACTGTACCACTGATTTTAGGCATAGCTTGACATTTAAGCTGGAATTTTAAAACAGCATCACATTTTTTAATATTTTTTTCTTGTACTTCGTTTTTCGGTGATACACTTTAAGTTTTGATTTTTGATCTTCTAAGCCTAGTCTAGAATGGTAATGAATGCCTATATTCTGCAACCTCTGGACGGGGTTGTTATTATTAGGCTGCAATTATCTGTAATTTAATTTATTACTTTAAAACATCCCGGCCAAAATTTGTCTCTGAAAATATGGCAGATCGAGGGAGGAGAGGGGTGATGTCTAGGTGTCGCAGTGAGGTGTCTAAATAACACACCTAAGTAACTGTACTATGCACTGGGTTTCGGGCAGCCGATTCGATCGAATACTATACCAAAGTCAGCGATCCGGGGGTTTTATAGACTGTACGAAAGAGTTGATGAAGGGGGGGAATTACAGGAGGTTTCCGGGAGAAATAAAAAAACAGAAGTGTTGGCAGGTATGCTTTAAAATAATAATAACTTTTGACTTCATTCCCATTTTCATTATTAATTATGAGCTTTAAGGACTCAAAATAGATTAGTTACATTTATATATAACTATTTGTTATAGCTTAATGACTTAGCATGTTTACATGATATTTACTGTAAAACAGAGCACTGTATTACTGCTTACATCCAAAAAGATACAGCTTGATGAAGGAGACAAGCAAAAGGTTCAGTGGTCTCCAGGAATGTGTTTGCGAATAATTTCTGTAGAAGAACCACTTCTTGGTTCTTGAAAATCCTTTAAGAATAGGTTTCCTGAAAAAATCATGAATTATTGTTCATTAGTGAGGAGTGGGAACACACACACCCAGATCAGCCATTGCTTAAAGCACAGGTTTTGGCTATTGAATATGGAAAAAAATTCAATTCATTATCTTGGAATTTCAAGTTCACCTCTATAATCATTATCCCATGCACAACTGCCCCATGTATGTATAATTAAATCACTATATATTAGGTCAAAACTATCTGTTTTTATAATGTCAAACTGCAGGTCTGGCGACTATTGGAGACAAGATTACAAGACAAAGGTGAAGGAGAAACTGGTGTCACAGAAGGAACCTCAAAGACCTCCAACAATGACATCTAAAAGTGATCTTCACAACATCACAGCTGAGAGCAAAATTTCCAACTCTTCCAACCCAAACAACACTGACATTAATACAGATTTCTTAATTGGAGAGATTGTCTATGTTTACATTATCTCTTGCATTGAAATTCCACTGCTCTCCTTGGCTATTTTTGCTGTTTACACTCTCATCAAATCTAAGCAGGCCACACCAGTTTTTGTCATAAATCTGCTCATTTTAGATCTCATACAAGCTGTTACGACCTTACTCTTTACCTTTTGTTCCAATTGGATGTTCTCCATTTTTATTGCCATCATGTTTTTTGTAGCTTGGGCAAGTTTTTATTTTATGACCTGCATAGCAATAGAAAGATACGTTATGATCGCTCATCCTATTTGGCACAGGTCTCATCGGTCCATCAAATGTCTTATATGTACTTCACTCACCTGTTGGCTTCTACCAGGTTTAAATTTTGTATTTGGGGCTGCAGAAATCATGACATATGGCACGCTCCTCCTATCATTCATCTTGTACGCAGTGATCATTGCATGTTTTGTGGGTGCATGCAGATCTCTTTCTCAGTCACCATCTCTCACTCCTATAAAGAAGCAGCTAGTTCTGGCTCCTCTGTTCTTTGTGCTGATGAGTTACACGTTTCTAACTATGCCTGTTAATATTATGTTTTTTTATCACAATAATGTGGATAATTCTAAAGTGAGTCTGGCAGATTTCACCATATTACTTTATTTGTTAAACCCGCTGGTTGACTGTTTGTTGTATGTGTTCATGAGGAGTGATGCAGAAAACATCATCAGGACGCCTCACTGCTGCTCCAAAATCAAGAGAAACCAGGAAGGAAACACAACACACGATATCTACTGATGTACAGAGTGACCGCATGTGAAAGATTCAGTAACATGTTCATGAATGTGCAGCGCTTCATTCACTAATGTTTCATTGATCTCCAAATAGCTCATTACAGAATGTGCTCAAGACATACAGTATATTGTGTAGCGTGACTCAGTAAATGAAAAGATGCATGTTCTGTAAATGTGTTTCTATTATTGTGCTTTGTAAAATGGTTTGAAAAATTCATCATTATGTCAGCATAATTATAATACTTGGAAATTGAACAAATGGATGTTATAGAGAGAATTTAACAGAGAAATAAAAACGATTTAAACATCTTCTTTCTTTTCTCCCAGACTTAGTCAGTATAGCTGCAAATATTAAATATTTATGATTTATGGCATATCAGTCAGCAATAGACATTACACTTAAAAATGTCTATTTATTATTATCCAGCCAAAAGTGATTTACCAGTGATTCCATATGCTGGGAATGAATTTTCAGAAAGAGACTGTGAAGTGATAATAACTTTTTCAAGTTACAAAGGCGGCCTAAAGGTGGTCCCTTTATTAATCTGGGGTCGCCACAGCGGAATGAACCACCAACTTATTCAGCATATGTTATACAAAGCGGATGCCCTTCCAGCTACAACCCATTACTGGGAAACATCCACACTCTAAAAAAATGTTGTGTTATTTATTCAACCAAATGAGTGAGTTAAAATATAATTGGTGCTTTGTTGAGTTATTTTTAATCTTTATTGAGTTATTTATTAAAAATTCTAGACGTTTGGTTAAAGAGCCCATATTATGGGTTTTTGAAAATTCCCCTCCATGTAGTGTGTAACACAGCTCTAAGTGAAGTGAAGTATCCAGCTAAGGCTTAAATCTGTAAGAATACAGTGTTTAAAACTGTTGATTCATCTATAAAAGAGTCGATTCATAGTGCTTCAAACGAGTCGCCTTGATACCGACTCATTAGGTGTTTCGCCATGACGTACGAACGAAACAAAGTTTTTCACGTGCACGC